CTCCATCTTGCGGGAGAAATTTTGAGTTTAAATCTTATAAACGACAGTTATTGATAAAAATATGTAAAGCTATGAATAGCGAGAATTGATGTGTTTTATAGGCATCCCTTCTCGATTACTTCGGCTCTCGGAGACGATTATTCACGTTCAAACATTAGGTGATTGGATAAATGATGCAGACAAAGTAGCACTTGCACACAGGATTTATTGTGATAAAATTCATGTACGAGGAACTCCATGCAGTGCATTAAAATGTAACTTTGGCTTTATAATATTTCGTGTACACTAGGATTTATCTAAAAGTCATCATAAGTATTTGGTAATAGGCTCATTGTATTGGGATTAATTGTGGGTTCACGCACAAAAAAAAGTGGGTTAATTAAGCCTTATATTTTTACCAGTACTTGACAAAACCAAGAAGTAAAATATTGTTTTTCTTGTTTTGCATTTAGAAAAGTGATTTCCGCACATCATATTCTCCTTTTGCAAACTCTTGTATAATTTTTTTCCTCTAGACTAAATAAAATAAGGAAAAATTAAGAGATAAAATTAAACAAAATTGTGTTGGATTAGAAATAAAATAAAGAAAAATTAAGGGCTCGTTTAGATGTACTTTTAAAATGACTGAAAACGCTTTTAGATAAAATGTTATTGGGTTCCAAAAGCACTTTAAGTGTTTTTTTTTCAAGATTTACTAACATTTTTACTAAGGATTGTTTCTAAAAATATTTTCACAAAAAACATTTTCAGTCATTTTAAAAGCACATCCAAACGAGTTCTAAGTTGGTTTTCTTATGTCCTTTTGCTGCAGGAGTAATTTACTGTGGTGTACATGGATTACTTAGGGAGTTAAAGAGGTTACTTAGGATTTTTCCCGGAAAACCGAGACCAAGTTTTATTTCCATAAAAATACTTTTAAGTTAACTTCCTTATGCAACTTTCCCTTTTGGGTATAAACGTAATGTGCAAGCAATTATGTAAATTAATTCTATATTTTTATTATTTTTTAATTTCAATTTTCTAGTTGTATGGTTGCAGACTATAATATGTAGAAGATTTGTTATTTTATTAGGTCAAACTAAATAAATTTTATTGATAAAAAAGCTAGTACAAGATATAGAAACCTCAATTAAGCAACCAAGTATAAGCAAAACGTTTGGTAGGTTCTTTTTTTGGGTGGTGGCGGTGTCTTTGCAATGGAGGCGCAGCTGTTTGATGGAGGTAAACGGCACTCCAGATCCAAGTTTTTCTTGCTACGAGCCAGCCACTTTTGGGCCTTTTCACAAAAGTACAATGATGAAGTTTTGTTTTAAGTTTCTTACGTAATCAAAGAGGAGGTAGATGGTCTGCCCTTCTGATTATACGTCATTTTCATCTTCTTTTATTTTACGTGTGATTACGGTTAAGTTACGTTAATATTTTATATTGATTTTTTATAGAGATAATAAGACAAAAAGCAATATAAATATAAAATGTTGACGTGACTTAATTATGACTGCACAAATAGAAGATGATGGGAATGATATCCAAACAGGAGGGCAGACAATCTGCCTCTATTCAAAGATGCTTAATTCTTGCATTATTATGACAATCCGTTGGCAAATTAACAGTAAATAAAAGTTAAAAAAAAAGCAGATTTAAAGGCATAAAAAAAAAAAATGAACCAGTAATTTAACAGTTAAATAAAGGGAAACTTTATTCTCAATGCCCTCTAATTGGAAAGTTGTTCATACAGCCCATAGGTGGTACCAAATTAAGCAATTCATGTTAAATAGCTTCTTGTTTTATTTATTTGTTTGGTAAAAAAAACAGTACCTTTTTAAATAGGCTAACCAAAATCTGCTTTTTTTAACTCTTGTATAATTTTTAGCTTTTGGATTTTTAATGAACTATTAGTTTAACAGTAAAATTTTCAGGTAAGTTTTTCTTAAATCTGAGAGAGTTTGTTGGATGTACAACTTTTCCACTACCAGTATTTAGATGATAATAAATTTTGAATTTAAATCTTATAAACGACAATTGTCGATTCAAAATAAATAAATAAATAAAGCTATTGATAGCGAGGATTTATGTGTTTTATAGGCATCATTTCTCGGTTATACTTTGGCTTCTAGAGACGATTACCTAAGTATTAACATTCGAAGATTTGGTGACTGGGCATCACAGCTCAAACAAATTTTCTCTAGGTAATTTCATGTGTATAACTATAAACATCACTGATTTGATTGATTTCTTGTACATGTATATGGGTTAATTAAGCTCTATATTTTTACCAATATTTAACAAAACCAAAAAGTTAAAAATTGTTTTCCGTGCTTTGCATTTAGAAAAATGATTTTTGCATATCATATTCCCTAATTTTGAGCTTTTAGATTAGAATAATACTAGAACGATTAAATTTGCAGATCAAATATGTAATCAATAAAAAATAAGCACGTTAATCAACATTTGAATGATAAATTAATTGCCATAAATATTCATATAAAGAGAACTTGTAAATTAACTTCCTTATGCAGCTTTCCCTTTTGGGTATAAACGTAATGTGCAAGCGATTAAGCAATGATCTCATAATCATCATTCATGTAAAGTAATTTTATTGTCACTTAATACTACAATCTGGTGGTATTCCTTTTCATTTGGAAGTGAGATGTCTTAGGTTCGAATCTCGTGGATGGCGAATTCGATACCAAATTAGGCTGCCCATTATATGGCTTTACCAAACTCTTCATCTCTTCAATGTAAAAATATCAATATACTAAAAAAAATAAAAAAAATTCTATAATTTTATTATTTTTATTTCAATTTTCCAATTGTATGGTTGCAGACTATGTAGAAGATTCGTTAGTTTTTTTCTTTTTTGGGGTCAAACTAAATGGATTTCATTAATAAAAAGGGTAGTATAAGATATATAAAACCCAAAAGGCAAGTCACAGCAATCAAGTACAAGCAAAACGTTTCGCAGGTTTTTTTAAGAAAATTTAACGAAAACTTATATTACTGTTCATTTTAACGAAAAATTATATTTTTACACTAAAAAGTCAATCATAATATTATTCACTTTGCTCTTTATTTTGTTCTTATCGTTAAAATTCAAAATTTTCAAATTTTTTTCATTAGTTTTCCTTTTTTTTTATGAATAGGTGCAGCTGTTTGGTAGAAGGCAAACGATACTCCGGATTTAAGTTTTCTAACTATGAGCCGGCTACTGTTGGACCTTTTCAGAAAAGTACGAATGATGAAGCTTTGTTTTAGTATTCAAAGATGCTTAATTCTTGCATTATTTGACAAACCGTTGGCAAATTAACTGTAAACAAATGTTCAAAAAAGCAGATTCAAGGCAGAAAAAAAATAAACCAGTAATTTAACAGTTAAATAAAGGGAAACTTTATTTTCAATGCCTTCTAATTGGAAAGTTGTTCCTACAGCACATAGGTGGTACCAAATTAAGCAATTCATGTTAAATTGCTTCTTGTTTTATTTATTTGTTTGTAAAAAAAAATAGTACGCTTTTCAATAGGCTAACCAAAATCTGCTTTTTTAAGTTGTTGTATAATTTTTGGCTTTTGAATTTAAGGTTTAATGAACTATTAGTTTAATAGAGAATGCGTTTCGAGTAAGTTTCTCTTCAAATCTAAGAGAGTTTGTTGAGTGTAATTGTTAGAGAACTTCAATTGTGTGGTCTAAATCTCTTCAAGGAAACATGATTCTCAAGATAACTTTGTCTCAAACCTATCACGTGTTGTGTACAAAAGTTACAGCATATGTCAACACATAATAAATTTAGGGTAATGCCACATTGACAATCCCATTTCCAGTAAGCTACTATACTCTCGAAAACTAGATCAAGCAATATTTCATAGCAAAATTATACTAAACTATGTTTCAATCTTATCACATGTCGTCATATGTATTAATTAACACGAAATTTTATAGGAAACTTTGCCAATGACCGAGGAGAATCAAGTTTCTACTCAGAAGAGTAAGGCATGCAATTGACCTCCATCATTAGCACCAATAAGTGTCACTTGGGTTTCGATGATTTTGCTAGTTATCTCCATTCTCCAGTCCAGCATAATGATCACATAATTCTTCCCAAAAAACCAAGACCCAAATGATAGAATCTTCACAACCAAGCCAAATCACTGCACTCTTAATCTCTTATTACAATTTTAATTGCAAAAATGAGAAGAAAGATTTGGGGAGGGAGAGATGTTTCAACGTGGAATATGGATGTTATTATACAAGTAGATGAACTTTTTTTTAGATATCTCTCTACTTGTATAATGACATACGACGTGTGTGTTCGTATTTTGGGAATATTGAAAAATCTCTCTTTGGGAAGAACGATGAATGTGCTACGTTTGTTGAACTTGTCCGAAACACAAGACGGAACACTACATGAAGAGTAGTGAATATGTTACGTTTGTTGAACTTGCCTGAAACACGAGGTGAAACACTACTTGTCATTATACCATTGAAGTTTTTTTTTTTTTTTTTTTTTTCAAGTATCTTTCTAATTGTATAATGACATTTCGTATTCAATTATGTATTTCAAATACAATGAAAAATCTTTCACATTCCAGTAGGAAGTTATAGGATTTGGTATTATAAAACTCAAAGTGCTAGTAATCTTTAGCTAGAAGAGGCATCAAATCCTACGACATTTCATAGGTCTCCAAAGTTTCAAATATAAAATTAGGAATTTTATATTAAAATCTTTTATTTCACATTAATTCTCATTGTACTAAAATGAAATTTAAAAATATAGAATTCGACCAAAAATATTTATAAAAAAAATATAAAGCCACCCCACCAAGCACCAACTTCAAGGGACCCCACTGTAATTTCCACTGTGCAACCCAGTTCCCCCTCAGTCACTAGATCTTTCCCCTCCACATCATAAACCCCCCTCCCTTCCTTCTGAAGCATTCCCAGTTGCCTCACTCATTGCAAACCCCCCCTCTCTCTCTCTCTCTCTCTCTCTCTCTCTCTCTCTCTCTCTCTCTCTCTCTCTCTCTCTCTTTCCTCTCTTCCTCTCTCTCTAAAAATCAAGAGTTGCTCACTCCCTCTGATTCTGTCTAATGGCAAAAGCTGAAGCTAAGCGTGAAGCCAAGCCAGAAAAACCGAAAGAAATTGAAGAAGTTTCCGTACCCACTCTCAAATACAAAGTAATTTAATTTCGAAGAACACCAACTTGTTATTTTTTCAGAAAAAGGTTTCAACTTTCAGATTTTCTAACAACTTCTTCTCCGTTTTACAGATTTGGGTTTTGAAAGTCCCTATACACTGTGGGGGCTGCAAGAAAAAGGTCGCAAAAATCTTGAAAAAAATAGATGGTAACCTTAAAATCCCTCTGATAGGATTTTAATCCTTTTTTTTTTTTTTTTTTTTTTTTTTGTAGTTTTTTGAATCGTACGGTCCTTATTGATTTGATGGTTTCTGATTTGCATGTCCCCTGTTTCATCAACTTTTTTCAGTTACAGAATTACAGTTCAGCTCAAGTTTTTTAATTTTTACAACATGGGTTTTGTTTTTTATGAGTTTTTATTGTTTTAATTCAAAAAATTATGTGAATTTTACTGATTTTTGATGATTTCTTTGGTGGGTTTCCAGGGGTTTACAAAACAGAGTTCGATGGGAGCTTCGGGAAGGAAAACAAAGTGACAGTGACTGGGAACGTGGAGCCGGAGATTTTGATCAGGAAGCTGGCCAAGGGAGGGAAACATGCAGAGCTGTGGCTTGATCAGAAGGCTAACAACAGCAATATTTCAAACGACAAGAAGAAAAAAAAGGGGAGCAACAAGGAGAGACAGCAAGGCGAAAACGCCAAAGGCTCCCAAGACGGTAACCATGGCGGACCTGGCTGCGGCGGCAGTGGTGATAATGAAAGGAAACCGGTTAAGGATGAAGTTGTTCAAGTCCAGGATAATGGTGGTAAGAAGAAAAATGAGGGTGGTGGCGGCGCGGGTGGGAGTAAGAGCGGTGAGGGGGCTAATGCTGTGAAAGTGATTGAGGGCGGTGGTGCACAGGCAAAAAACAGCGGGGGTGGCGGTGGAAAAGGCAAAGAGGTGAAGGTTGAGGGGGTTAGGCAGGGTAAGGCTGTGAACATGTCGGGACAGCCGGATGCGGCGGATAAGTGTTTTGGTGGGGACGACGACGATGACAGTGACTGTGAGGTTGAGAAAAGTGGAGGCGGCGGTGGAGGTCGCGACGGTGCTGGCGGCAGTGGAACCAAGAAGAAAAAGAAGGGGCAAAAGGGGAATGCAAATGCTGGCGATTCGGATGAGGATGAGCAATGTGGTGATGCTGCTCCAGCACGCACTGGATTACCGCCTAATCATGGCAATGTGCCACGTGGTCCTCCTGTGCCTTGCATGCCTCCATATGGTACTCAAGGCCCAAACTTTGCTCCGGCTCTGGCACCAGCTCCAGCCAATCACATGGCTCCACATCAGCTGTTGTATGAATACCAGTACCCCAGGCAGAACAGCAACGGGCGTCCAATCCAAGCTATGAACTTCAATACGGCCTACCCCGCCAGTAGCTACGGTGCATCCCAGTATGCTGCACCACCACCTCACGCACATTCTTACTCTTATGTGTCTCAAAGTGTGGCAGCTGAGACCGAGCCCCGGTCCTATCATTCGGACTCATATCCGCAGTACAACCCGTCTCGGCCGGTATATAATCCGCCGCAGCAGTCCGATTCCTTCGAGCTGTTCAGCGACGAGAATCCGAACGGGTGCACCATTATGTGAGCATTGTGGGCAGTGGCTGCATTGGAGAGTATGGAGTTGGAAGGTGAAGGCCGCATAAGGTTGTATAAGTGCTTTTGGGGAACTTACACTACTTGTATAAGTGCTTTTGGGGAATGACTTGGAGCTTTGTTATTTGTTATGTCATCGGGCAATGTGAAGGCTAATCCTAGCTGAGTGGGGAAGAATAAATGGGGTTTTATGGTGTTGTAGGTTAATTTTCTATTACGGTTTCAGCAGTAGTTGGTCGTTATGTCTAGCTCTAGGCTAATTATCTTTTAGTTTTTGCTCTTTTAATCAGTTTTAAAAGAGTTGTTAACCATGTAATGATCGGTTTAATTAATTAATCACGTTGGGTCTCTAATTGTGTCTTCAACTCTGCGTTCTGATGTGTAAAGTGGATTATGGCAATTTGGCTTCTTATTTCAGCTGTTTCTTTACTCGTAAAGAAAAAGAGGGAAAATGCATTTCGACCATTCAAAATTGAAACTATATCACTTTGATCTGTCTAGTTGCAAACAAAAACCCTTTCTAGGTTTTTGAGAGAAGGGTCTTTGGAGCGACCCTTTGGAACTTATTTGTTCCGAATATGTCATTGTGATAATATTTTAAGCTTATAATGTCATCATGACGGTCTTTCAAGCTTATAATGTACTGACGCATGTTTACTTTTTTTTTTTTGTATTACTTTTTGCATGTAAGTTCTATCACGTATTGCATTAATTTTAAGAGCAAGTTGTAGCAATGGTTCCTCAACTTTAACTAAATTGGGGCAATAGTAGCTTAACTCATCAAAACATTTAGCTATAATTCTTTTCAATAACTTCATCAGAATTATGTCAAAATGAGTTATGTTGGAATGACTATTGCTCCAATTGGTTTGAAGTTGATGGACCATTGCTCCAATTAAGCTAAAGTTTAGGGACCATTTTTCTAGTTAGATTAAAGTTGAGGAACCACTGATACAATTTTTCTTATTTGATTTTCCATATTACCCCTTGATTAAGCCTCGCGTGCTGGCACATGACTTATTTTGACGGAATTTCTAATGGAGTTGACAAAAATGACCATAGTTGCACGTTTTGATAAGTTGAGGAACTAATAGTAATAGATTTTTAGTTGAATGACCATTGCTCCAATTGGGTTAAAGTTGAAGGACCATTGTTACAATTTTTTACTCTAATTTTTAGCATTTTCACAATGATGTTTATGGTTTGTAGGGCCATTTCAATATTTTGAAATACTCTCTTAATGATGCATAAAGGGGAAAATTAATAGAGAAAGTGAAAAGATTAGTCAAAACTATTTATTAGAGATGTGCAAAAGGATGTTAATCACATTGTTAACTGGAAATTAAGAAGCAAGTTAGTTTAATGTCTTATATTAAATGAGATCAAATCTTTTGCACTCATGTGGCCTATGTAATCTCTATGTGGCCTATGTCACATCCCAGCTCGGGCTCCATTCCACCGTAACACAATATTGTCCTCTTTGGACCCCGACCACGCCCTCACAGTTTTGTTTCTGGAAACTCACACAAGAACTTCCCAGTGGGTCACCCATCCTAGGAATGCTCTCGCCCGAACTCGCTTAACTTCGGAGTTCCGATGGAACCCGAAGCTAGTGAGCACCTAAAAGGCCTCGTGCTAGGTAGAGATGAGAATATACATATAAGGCTTACATGATCTACTCTCATAGACGATGTGGGATGTTATAGCCTAGCCTTCATCATTTATGGACACATGTTAATAAACTTAACTCACATTAGCTTTTATTATCATAAACTTAACACGTGTCAATCAGGCCACATACAAAATGAGTTCTGGAGATTTGATCTCAGATGAATTTTGTTTTTCTAAGATGGGGGAATAGGTTTTCTTTGCTGGTTTTGTGAAAGAAAAAAATGTTTACATTTACCAAATGGTAAAAGTCCCTTGTTCTTTACTATAAACTTGAAATTTTAAAATAATTGATCTCCTTTGAAAGTTTTTACTTTAAAGGGAAAAATGATCCTCTCCGGATTCACTTTGTGGGGATCATAGGATCCTCACATTCTAGCAGTTCATCATATATCGTGCGGTTAGTTTTCGTCAAATACCATTTGTATTTAATTTTAAATAAAATAGTCAAATGATTTATGACAACACGATACACGATGAATGACTAAGATATTGATATCCATAGGATCCCCACAAAGTGGATCCAGATGGGATCCAATTCCCTTTAAAGGGTGGTGTTATCTACACTCATTTTGACCTCTTTAATTTTCAATCGTCAAATCAAATGAATTAAAAAACATTAATAGATAAAAAAATTAAGGGGTGTGATATCCACACACCATTTTTTTTTACTTCTCATACACTCTTAATTGAATTTTGTCATTTGATATTTTTTTTAATTCATTCAATTCGACAGTCGAAAATTTTAAAAAAAATACGAGAAGTAAAAAAATGGAAATTGTTATTGGCACTCCAAAAATCTCATTCTACACTCTAAACTTTTTATATTTGGAAAAAAAATACACTTATGAAAAGTGTAAAATGAGATTTTTGAAGTACCAATAATACTTAAAAAAAAAATTGTAAATAACACATCTCAAAATTCATAAAGATAAGTGTGAAATAAAAAAGAATGTGCAAAAAACAACGGTATACTTTATAAAGCAAGCCCTTTTGGAGTTTTTTTTTTTTTTTTTTTTTTTTTTTTGGGTATGTTTTTGGAGTTTGTGATCGGCTGTCCTCTTTGTCCTCTTTGCTTTAGGTTTTTTTATTTTTATTTTTTTTTCATTCTTTAATCTGTAGGCTAGTGCTTTTGGATTTAAAAGCATTTTTGGAGATGATATTAAAAGCCGATTTGTACGGTAGTATGGACGCCTTTACTTTAATTATTGCTTTTGAGACATTGTCTCCTGCGGCAAGCAACCCCACAACACAAGCAAGCAAATCATGTCCACGATAGAGTCAGAAGCAGAAGCACAGTGCTTTCGCTTATAAGCTTCTGTTTGACTTTAGTTTAGACTGTTTCAGATTAGATTATGAATTATTATCAATAAAACTTGATCACAGTTATGTGTTGTTAAGTAGTGACACTTGGCCAAGCTCTACCCTAATTACTTGGAAATTTTAACGAAAAACTCATGGTACTATTTATTTTAATGAAAAATCATATTTTTACACTAAAAAATCTATCATGTTACTATTCGTTTTACCCTTTATTTTGTCATTCTAGTTAAAACTCAAAATTTTCAAGTCATTTTCATTAGTTTTCCTTAATTACTTTAGTCATGTTTAATTAAGGCTATTAGGCTTTTTAATCAAAATGATCTTTAAGATTTGCATAACTCCTCATTTTGGTTTCTGAATTTTGAAATCAATACAAGTGGTCTCTGAGATTATCCAATATCAATCATTTTGATCATTCCGTGAATACTTATGTTAAATAAAGATTAAAATGACAAAACTACCATCAATTTAATAAACAATAGGCCAAAATGATTTGACAAAAATTGAGGATACTTTTGTCATTATATCCTTATTTAATGGAGATTTTTCACGGAATGACCAAAATGATTGATGGTGGGGAAACTTAAGAACCAATTCTATTGATTTCAAATCTTAATAACCAAAATGATGAGTTATTCAAATCTCATAGACTATTTTAATAAAAAAAGCCTTTAATTAATTATTTACCACTATTTTTCTAATTTTTCCTACCAAATGGTGCATGCGGTGGTTTTATATTCTGGGGTTTTTTCATGGGTCCTATCAGTTATAATATTTATGAGAGATTTTTCATGTTCTTGATGTACGCACATATGTTATATGATATTATACAAGTAGATGAGATATTTGAAAACAATTTTTTCCTTCATTAGTATAGTAACATATAGCGTATCGTCCATATTCCGGACACATTAAAAAAACTCACAATATTTAGGCCATCTCCAACCAAAGGATCAAAAGGGCCGAAAATAATCCGAAAATCGTCTCCAACCGAGAGCTAGGCCAGATGGCTGTGGAATTTGAGAGGGCCCCATGGAATTGGAGAGGCCTTGAGGGCTGGCTAAAATTCAAATCAATCCTGTCGGTTTAACCGACAGGATTGATTTGAATTTCTTTTTTACAGTTTTATTATTATTTTTTATTTACGAAAATTTTCCTATAACTTCTATTTTTCATTTTTTTTTTAATTCTATTTTTTTTCCTATAACTTCTATTTTACAAAATTTTTAGTTTTTAACAACATTTAACAAATTATGAAAAATATTTCTAGTTTTTCATATTTGTTAAAAAAACATTTAACAACATTTAAGTTATAAATTTTTAAATAATAAATTATGTTTAACCCTATGGCCCTCGGTTGAAGACGGTTTTTTGTGATAGAGCTAAAATGAGCCCTCTGGTCCTTTGGTCCTCGGTTGGAGACGGAAGCAAATATGGTCCTGTAATGTTCATTAAAATATTAATATCTTGGAGAATCTTGGAGGGTCAGAGGGCTAAAACGAGCCATTTGACCAGCCATCGGTTGGAGATGGCCTTAGAGGAAGACCAACATCTAATGGGTCCTACATGTTATTGTCCATTGCCAAATATTGAATGGAAATTCTGGACTTATAATTTTCTGCAACTTTAATCTAAATTTTGTTTTGGTCACAGTTGAACCCAAAAAAAAAAAAAAAAAAAAAAAAAAACCTAATATCTTCTAATTTATTGATAAAAGGGCACATTTTAGGGTTTTATTCCCTTGTCCACTTGTGGTCAATTGACATTCCAAGCTTTATAAGCAAGAGAACCTCTTTGTTTTATTCTTATTCTTGCATGAAAAAATATGGTTTCTCAAAGATAATTATTCTTATCCTTTATTGACGAAAAATAAGGTAAATTTCTAGACACACTGCTTCTTAATCTTGGCTTTGAATTTCCTTTGATTCCTTTAATCAAATAACAATAATAATAAAGCATTATCTCATTAAATGAGTTGATTGTATAAATACTAGAACATCACTGTATTTGGTTTTACGCTAAGTGTTCCCTTAAGTCTTTCTAGATATTCCTTTACCATTTTT